CACCTGCCTGCCAGCTGGGATTTGAAGGCTATGCATGCAAGGCGCACCGCTCGTAATTCCCTGACATTGATGTGCAATGAAAGATCCTCTCGTGACCAACGGCCCTGGGTTCTGTGGCCGCCCAGATGTGCACCCCATCCCCGATCCGATGCGTCCGTTACCAGGGCTAGGGAGGGCTCGGGGTCGAGGAAAGGCACTCCCGCGCAGACCTCCCGCGGGTCGAGCCACCATTGAAGGGAATCCAGCACCGGCCAAGGTAACGTCACCACTGATTCTAGGGAGTCCCTGACTGGCCGATAAACCCCTGCCAAGCACGACTGGAGTGGGCGCAGTCTGAGTCTGGCGTGTCTCACCACATAGGTACATGCCGCCATGTGCCCTAGTAATTTGAGGCAGTTTCTTGCTGTGGTGGTTGGGTAACGTTGGAGGCCGAGAATAATGTTGGACATAGTCCGGAATCTGGCCTCTGGGAGATATGCCCTGGCGTGTGTCGAGTCCAGAACTGCCCCTATGAATTTGATTTTTTGGGTTGGAGATAGTGTGGACTTGGCCTCATTGAGTAAGAGGCCGAGTGCGAGGAAGGTCTGCCTGGTAAAGACCACCTGAGCCTCCACCTACTCCTTGGTCCTGCCCTTGATGAGCCAATCGTCCAGGTAGGGAAACACCTGAATCCCCTGCCTGCGCAGGAAGGCTGCCACGACTGCCATGCACTTCGTGAAGACCCTTGGGGCTGCTGACAGACCAAAGGGCAGAACCGTAAACTGAAGATGAGCGTTGCCCATGAGAAACCTGAGGTAACGCCTGTGCTGAGGGATTATCGCAATGTGAAAGTATGCGTCCTTTAAATCGAGGGCGGCATACCAGTCTCCTGGATCCATGGAAGGAATGATGGAGGACAGGGAGACCATGCGGAACTTGAGCTTCTTTAAAAACTTGTTGAGACGCCGCAAGTCCAGAATAGGTCTGAGGCCCCCTTTCGCTTTCGGAATTAGGAAATAGCGAGAATAGAAGCCCTTGCCCCATGGCTCCTGAGGAATCTCCTCTACTGCCCCTGATGCGAGGAGGGACTGAACTTCTTGAAGTAGAAGTTGCTCGTGAGAGGGGTCCCTGAAGAGGGATGGGGAGGGGGGCTGGTGGGGCGGGAGGGAGGAGAACTGGATAGAATATCCTCCTCTACCGTGCGAAGCACCCAAGCATCCGATGTGATCCGGGCCCACGCACGATAGAAGGGGGACAGACGTGACGAGAAGGTAAGGTTGGACGGATCCAGGGTTCTGACTGGGAGGTCGTCCTCGACCAAGCCATCAAAATGGTGGTCTAGGCCCCTGTGTAGGCCTTGGTTGGGCAGATGACTGGCTGAAGGGCTGCTGTTGTTGCCTCCTCCTGCCCGTCCTTGCCCTTCTGCGCAAGGCATCCCCTCGATTTTGAGGCTGGTACGGCCGTGGGGCCTGTGGTGGCCTGAACTGCCTGCGCTGGGTGACCGGGGTGTGTAGGCCTAATGAACGGAGGGTGGTCCGTGAATCCTTTAGGCTATGAAGCCTCTTATCAGTCTTCTCCGAGAAGAGCGCGGGCCCTTCGAAGGGGAGGTCTTGGATCGTTTGTTGGACCTCATGAGGGAGGCAGGAAACTTGAAGCCAGGCTCCGCGCCTCATGACCAGACCAGTCGCCAACATGCATGAGGCTGAATCGGCCGCGTCCAAGGCCGCCTGGCAGGAAGCCCGGGTAATCAATCTCCCCTCTTCAACCAGGGCTGAAAACTCGGTTCGCGACTTCTGTGGAAGGAGGTCTGCGAACCTAGACAAAGCCGAGCACGTGTTGTGTCCATACCGGCTCACTATGGCTTGCTGATTGGCAATGCGCAACTGCAGGCCCCTCATTGAATATACCTTGCACCCGAACAGGTCCAACTTTTTGGCCTCTCTATTTTTGGGGGTAGCTCCCTGAAACCCTTGGCGTTCCCTCTGGTTGGCCGCATCTACCACTAGGGAGTCTGGGGGAGGGTGTGTATAAAGATGTTCATAGCCCTTGGATGGAACAAAATATCGCCTCTCAGTCCTTTTAGCCGTAGGGGCCAATGAGGCTGGAGTTTGCCACAAGTTGCGGGTTGTGTCCGTAATGGTCTTTATGAGAGGTAGGGCTACCCTGGATGGGCCCGACGGGGTCAGGATGTCCACCACCGGATCTGTATCCACCTCGATCTCCTCAGTCTGGATCGAGAGGCTTTGGGCTGCTCGAGTAAGCAGCTGTTGGAGGATCCTATTGTCCTCTAGGGCCAGTGCCGCTGAAGTTCCCGCTACTGCCTCATCCGGAGATGAGGAGGAAGAGATCCCCTGAAGAGGGCCTTCATCTACCCCCTCTCCCTTTACGAGGGCCTGCGGCACACGGTACTCAGGCTGCGCGGCAGGTGCAGGCTCAGGATGCGGCACCGCGGCCGGTACCGGGGTCGACACCGAGGCGTGCTGGACGGTGCCTGCGGCGTTGGGAGCAAGGTCACCGTCGGTGCCGTTGTCTGGCTAGGCGGTGCCATGTCCCTTTGTGGCACACTCCTGTCAGACGGCGGTGCCGGTGGTGGTGGCATTAGCGGTGGGGCCGCCGACGTCGAAGAGACAGATGCGGCTCGTGAGCGTGGTCCATACGCCTGACCCACTGACTGGTGGTAGGCCCATGGCGTCCAGAACGGCCACTGGGGGGGCGGTTGCCATTGCCACTGCGGTGGGTACGGTTGGGTACTCGTACGCGAGGACGATCGCCTACTCCTCGATCTGTTAGAGCGGTACGAGTCCACCTCCGAGTACGAAGTCTCTGAGTAGGAGGACATAGGAGGCGCGGTACCCACTGTTGCCGGAGAGGGTGCTGCCACGATTGCTGAAGAGCAAGCGAAGTTCCAGCTAGCCGTCACCGGTGGTAAGAAGGAACTGAGGGGGTGGAGGGTCGTCTGGCCCCTATATACAGCGCCATGAAGGCGCCACTCCAGGGGGCGCCGAAGCCGACCCTACGGACGCTGCTATAGTAAAATCTTCCGGCTGGCGTGCACGCGGCGCGCACACACCTGCTTGGAATGGACATTAACAATCACTCGAAGAAGAAACAGCCGTTCATAGTGCAACAAAATCCCATCTGTAGTGTGGATTATGACCTCTCTTTGAGACCTGCAACACAGCCGCCCCTTTCCTCCTTTCTTGATCACCATGGACAACTCCACCAGCTGGCCCATAACTCAACCCTGTAACCTGGGCATCATCTTTAACTCAGCTCTCTCTCTAGAGCCTCACATCCAGGCTGTCTAAATCTTACCAATTCTTTCTGCGTGACTTCTGTAAGGTCTGGCCTTTCCCATCCACCCACACAGTGAAAGCTCTGGTCCAGCCTCTCATCGCACATCTCGATTACTGCACTATCCTTTTCTCCAGCCATGACCAATGCAATCTGCCCCACTCAGATCCATTCAGAATGGGATGCAAAGTCTATTGACCACGCCGTCCCTCTCTTTGCGTCCCTCCACTGGCTCCCCCTTCTCTAGTTCATCAAACATAAGCTTCTTGTCTCCACTTTCAAGGCCCTTCCCCATCTGTCACAGGCTACTGAGAGGCTGCCTCTCACCTCCACTCTGCCAGTGGCTCCAGCCTCCATTGTCCACCTGTCACAAGCAAGCGCCTTTGCACTTTCCCCCGCATGCTGCCCCCCACCCCCACAAGGGATGAGCTCCCCATAACCATCCACAAAGCCACCTCATTATCCTCCTTCCAATTCCTCCTTTGCTGGGACACCTACAAAACACTTGACAACGATTAGGCAGTTGGTGTGCTGAGGCCACAGCCCGGTCTGCTGACTGAGATTTCTTCACTGCTGAGGGCTCAGTTTCTCCATTGTGCAGCCAATGATTTTAGTTTATTGTTCATTTATTGTGTGATTATGATTAACTAACATGTTATGTCATATAGTCATTGTATGCTAAAGAGAGCTAAGTTGTAGGATTATAGAAGTATAAAATTGATCAGTAGTTAGAAGGGATAATTATGTATTAGGTATCTAAGTAAGTAGGGCTGAAATGCAAGGCCTACAGGTCTGAGACCTGTGAGATGTCAAGCTTAGCCTTACTAGGCCATAGGCTTGAGAAATGCTGGACATAAGTAAGTGACCAAAGAATGAACCTGTGCCACAAGATTATGGGAAAAGATGCACCAAAAAATTAACAGTAAAAGTAATTTTTTGCTTACAAGATCCCTGGCAGTCACATTTTTCTAACACATGCCCTAATCGCAGGGTGCACTATGTGTGTAAATGCTAATGAGGTATAGTCAGAATCACATTAAAAAAGAGGGTGCCCAGAGTGAGACAATTGAGCTCCCTATGGGAAACCCAGCAGGAACCATCCCTCTACTGAGGATCAATCCATGAGAGACCCATCAGACCCTAACACTATCTAGGAGGATGTGACTATAACTATATTTGTAACTTGTGCATAGGTCTGTATAGAATTTCTATATGCTTGGGTAACCATAATTTTGCAGGTAACTCTAATAAAGCTTTGTAAGAGACTTGTACTGGTAAATGTGTGTGTGGTCACTACCCTTGGTCTCTGTGTGTTCCTAGAGACTCTAAATCTGAAGCAAGTAGCAGAGGTGACTTTCACTCTGTTAAGCTTGACACTGTAGCCACCAGAGCTGAACCCACGGTGGTGTAATACCACATTACTAAATTCATTTTAAATAAAATAAAAGGCTACAATTTGTTCTTTGTACTAACTCCAGGATTTTTTCAATTGATTTCCTTGTGGTTTTCTTTAAGAAAAGGAGATGAGACCTGAGCTTTCTGTTTATGAGGCTGACAAGCTATGTCAGCAGAACCTGTGTGTTGTTTGAGTTCTAGATATAGTTCTCAGTTCAATGTCTCTTGAACTCCTCTGCCAACCTTAGCCACAGATTGCTAAATCAGCCTGAAAGCGAGAGTCCTGAATTCAAATGACCTTAACTCTGAATGAAATCATTTCCTCGTGCTGACTGCATCTTCGGCAGATTCCCTGGTACATGACTCCTTTGCAAGCACATGTCATATGACTCACCATAGCAGATACCATTCACATTGGGTAGCATGACACAGACCATCAAGCCCTCTCTGTAAGGACGAGCCACAGTGACACGGGAATGGCTGCAGGGTGTTTATTTGACAATCACTGGTGGTAGTGCACAATTTAGTTACCCTGTTAGCTAAGGTCCCCCCTCCCAATTGCTGCTGAATGGTTTGTGCCACTACAACAGCCAGGAATGGGTCCTTGGGTTTTTTTTGTTTTGTTTTTAAAGCCAGTTTAAGCCTCCAGTCCAGGGAGAGTGTCCAGGTGAAGCCAATGAAGAGACTGCAGGTTCCTTTATAGTATCCACTTCCTTGACAGCCCTTGTGAGACTGAAGCCAGAGCCCATCTGTCCAGACTGGCAGGGAGGATCCCAGGGTCTGCGCGCTCCTATCCCACACTCAGCACTTGCCCTCTACAGGATGTTCTTTGCAATAGCGTTCAGGGTCCTCACTTTAGCCACATCCGCTACCTTTAGAGAATATTCGGAGACAGACAGAGAGGTTCCCATGGCAACACTGCTGTTTCTGTCAGGAAAACCAAGAGGTGACTGATTACTGTCTGGAATGTGGAACAGCTGGGAGAAAGATTATCCCAGGCAGAGCAAAGGGTCTTCGCTCTAGGCAAGAGGCACCAGCATTAAAAGAATATAGTACAGACCTTCTAGAAACATGTCTCATAAAGATGCACCCCCACAGCACACCACGGCACCAGTGCCAGGTCTCATGCGCCCAAGTGCCAAGCGCAGCTCCATTCACATGCCCCAGTGCGCTAATGAAAGGAATCATGCTCCCAGCAGCTGAGCACAGGGGGTTAACGCATCCAAGGGCACCTCGTCATGCACAGGACTCGCACCCCCAAACGCTGAGTGCAGCTGGATTCACATGCTCCAGAACACCAGTGCCAGGATTCACACATCCAGCCCCCCCGAAACACAATTCTTACACCCTGGGGCATCAGCAGGATCAGGGAGTTTTCTGTGTAATTCGCAGACTCAGTTTCAGAGCAGCAAAGCTGTGGGAGGAACAAGCCAGACTGTAACTCCACCCTGGCTTAGTGCAGACAATCTCTTACCTGAACTTCATTCCCGAGTCCCGGGCTGAGCGAGCAGAGCAGTGAAACTCAGGTGCACCAGAGCCCTCAAGAATCCTCTGCAGGTTCCTCTCTGTTATACCACCCCCTAGTGGAAAGAATACATTCATACATCACATTGGAGCAGGACAATCCTGAGCATCATCACCCAGTGGGGCTAGCCCCTAAGACCAGACCCAGCCTGGACAGGAAAGGGAAACAGCCCCACAGAGGCACAGGGGGCTGGATGAGGAGCTGCCTGAGACCCCTGGCTGATCCAGAGAGTATCCCCAGACCTCACAGAACGCGGCAGCTGTACAGGGCTTCACTGCCCACAGCAGGTAGCGGGACTGGTGGCCTTTACGCTCCATGGAGGGAGGGAGAGCCACTCCCCGGTGAGGCAGCAGAATGGCTCAAAGCTGAAACATGGATCTTATGCACCTGGGCATGTGCATGAGACTGGGACCCCAGAGCCAGGGATGGATTCAGCCCCCAGTACGTACATCAAGTTGCAGCAGAATCATTACCTGGCACCACCACAATCCTGCCCTTAGCCTGAAAAGGAGCAGAGTGACACGTGTTAATGCTCTTGCCCACTCCAGCTTGACACACAGGAGAGCCACGGTACTTGCATGCACCCCGTCTAGACGCAGCCTATCATGTGGGGGATCTTGGAGTAGCATGAGGAATTCACACTCACACCCCTCAGGACATGCCCAGTCATGGAGCTCACAGCATTGTTCCCAAGACACATTAGAGGAAACCACTGACCTTGTGATTCTGCAGGACTTTCGTTCTTCAGCCTGGTGCCTCCAGTGCGACTCATGCTGGAAACTCCTCCAGCTCTTCTGAAACTTGGCCCGGAGACACTTACAGGCTGGCTCAAGGACTCTGCCTACTTAACATGCTCCAGCCCAGGAACCTCAGAGACCCTGGGACATTGCAGCCACTTCTTTCAAGAGCCCTCTAAACTCCAATAACTTACAAGCCAACCAATATTACACTTGTGTGTGCATATCCGTGTGCATGCACATGTGTGTGTCTCCACGGGCATGCACGTGTGTACATGCACATATGCATATAAAGTGTGACTATTGTGCGTGCCTGTAGTGTGTCTGTGTGCACGTGCATGCCTGTCTGTACTATGTTCTCAGACTTAGCCCTTTGTGGTGTTGGAGTTAAGTCTGCCAGACTGCAGATCCCCCTAAACACACCAACCAGGAACCGAGCAGTTAAATCATTCAACACCCCAGCTATACTCCACTCATCAGTCCCCCTTGTCAGCCTCAGCTGTCCCTTGCCTTCTGCCACTCCTAGCCCAGACAGCTCCCTCCTCAACCCACGCAATCAACCCCGGGGCACTCCAGCCTGCTCCCAACAGTAACATTCACAAACCATCACACTGCGCTGGCCTCTAGTGCCTTCCATCTGACAGTCCCACTGCCGGGCCGTCTCACGCTCTCCAGAGAGGCACTTCGCCATTTTATGTACGTCTCAGACAGAAAAACATGCAGATGAGCCGGACTCATTAAAGCCACATCTCAGAGCATCTGTATCCCTAGGATCCTGTCACCATCCCCCCCGCTTCACGATCCTCGTCCTGCACCTTTCTTACTCCCATTTGTTGCATTTCATTTTAAACGGGATCGTGAGCTTTTGTGTGTGTGTGTCGCTTAGCACGACAGGGCTCAGGCCCTGATCCCCCGGGGAGCCTCCAGGTGCTACCGCAATACAAATATGGTACAAAGGACAACAGATACAGGTGCTGTCACGCCAACAGGGAGAGCAAGTTAGAGACGGCCCTTCCCCTCCGTGAAGTCATCCCATCTGTAGCCTGTAAGCAAGAGCAGCCCAAGTGGCCTCCCTGTTGGCAGATGCAGGTCTCTGCCACGGGGGGCCTCACAGCTCAAACCCACAAAGCCCAGATGTGCCCCTGGGGCCAGTGCAGAAGCTGGAGCAGATGGGGAAGGTGCTCCCAGCCAGAGACTCCCCTAGGGGCCACCACTGTTAGTGCTGGCCAGCTCTCCAGGGCAGCCCCCACAGAGCAGTGAGCGGTCAGGGTAACGGAGAGCAACAGCAGAGATAGAAGGGGGGAAGGGGGCGCTCACCTGTTCTGTGAGTCTCTTTATTAAGGGTAACCCCTCCAGTGCTGAGCTGTCACAGCCGCTGGTCAGCACCCGCTCGAATCCCAGGGACACCAGGGTCTCCAGGGCCACAAGAGGATCATGGACCATGTCGAAGGCTGCAAGACCAAACAAAGCAGCTCAAAGACGCCATGATGGCAGGCTTCAGCACTGAGTCCCACCCATCAGCCAGCTCACCAGCCAAGTGGGGGTGGATGTATCCAGGGCATAGAACCAAAGGCCTCCCTTACAGCTGCTGACCCCTGCACAGAGGCTTGGCATGCACAGCCCCCACCCCCGGGCAGCGGCACGGCCATAGAGCCTG